ATGATATTACTAATGCTAGATGCATTTAAATTATTATTCTGACCAATTAAATGAATTAACACCCAAGCGCTTGACGCGCCTAAATGCGTTACACGTGTTTACAAGCCTCAATCGATTTTTCTGCCAATACGCTACTGCCAGGAGGAGAGATATCTAGGGGAGATGGCCAAACATCCAGTGTACGTGAGGCCTATGATAAACAGTAACATTTGGCCAAGTAAACAGAAAGCGTAGCTGCTGGTCAGTCAAAAGATAACAAAAAAACATGAAAAAGAAATGTTATGGTAAACAAGGCAGGGGGAGGAAGGATGAGCCTGGGAAAAATCCTGTGGGCAATGGGAGGGAGTCATAGACGTATTAGGAAAGGAATGGGTTTGATATGAATGTGGGAGGAGGCGTGGAGGAGCTGTGGAATGGATTTAGGTAAAAGGGGGACATGGCATGACTGAGGTACCAGGGTAGAGGGGTAAACCTGGAGGAGCAGTGCATGGACAGTGTTCAGCTGGAGCAGCTGGAAATATTGACACTGGCATGCCACTTCTTTTAGCTGCCCTAGAGACTCTGATAAATGCATAGATACTCTCCATGCACTGCTTTTCAAGCTCCCAGTCTAGGTATTCTAACAACGGAAACAGGCTTTGGCAGAATGTGGCCCATGTGATTCATAGGGTCCAAAATGGATCCCTGTCCCTCTCTTTCTGTCGCACTTCCCCCAACAACTCTAAGATGCATTTTTCTGCTTGGAGTCATCTCTGTCCCCCTCTGATGCCTATGTTCACGCACAGATGAAGATGGGGTATAAGGATCCTCTGTAGCACCCTATAGAGACAGAACATTTATTACAGACAGTGTATAGATGATGGATAGCTTACTAAAGTGCACCCTTTTACATAAGTCCCCCCCCCCAAAAAAAAAAAAAAAATTATACTTACTTTTTAGACTCCATATGGTCATGGAGTTTTTCCAGTGGATGCAAATTGCTTTCTCTGAAAAAAAGTTCAGCTTTTTATGTACACTGGAAAGTTACACTTACACCTGTCCTCTTTCTGCCTTTGATTGAGTCAGTCCCAGGCCTCAGTCAGATAACAGGCAATCTCCATTCAGATAATTTTCTTGTGGATATGGTCCGTATAATGGGGGTGGGTAAGGTCCCGAAGCTCTGGGTACATCTCAAGAGCAGCGATATTCTGTATTTGGGCAGCGTCTTTTGCCATTGTGGACAAGTACAGTAGCAGCACACCACAGAATTCAAGCTAGAAAGCATAAGACCATGATGGGGCAAGGTCATTGGGAACTTCCTGTACAGAAAGGAATTCCTGGATTGTCATTTTAATATTCCAAATTATTTTCCTGGTACCCACATGATAGCATACCTGTGATAGAGCTCTGCCTCTCATCCACTGCCTCAGAAACAGTGAATATCATAAAAAAGTAGTTAGGCCCACCCCTATTATTCTTTTTTCCTCATACCTCAATGCACCATTGAAGAGTAGCAGCACTTTATCCCTATCTCTGCCTGTAGTGCAGTATCCATCGGGGTTCAGCCTCTCCCAGCACACAGTGCTGGAGCTGTTAAATGCACTAAATAGCCTGGGGTTGATGGGGTTTGCAGTGATTCCTCATTAGGAATGAAATCTGCCTCTGTAGCAGTGTCTACGGTATGGGGGTTTTGGGACAGCCAGCTATTTCAGCCTTCTCTGTTTTAGTCCTTATGCCAAGGGTTGCCTTTTGTCAGTCTCTCCATCTTTTATCTTCCTTTTCTTTTCTTGTCCTCTTTGGTGTTGCTCAGACGCCTCGCTGCTGGCTGCACCTCTGGTATCCCTATAGGGCGAGCAGGGCCACCTGAGTCTGTTTTTGGCAGGTGGGTTGCTCCTGATGACATCATCCAGACATGCTGGCTCACAAATGTTTGCTGGCCGATGGGAGGGTGGGGCACCATCTTACTTTTGGGCAAGAGGTGCTCACTTGCCCATCCAGGAGATGCAGTTCTGGAGGAGGTCTCACCCTCCTTCTCTCTCTCTCCCCTGGAGGATACAAAAGGCTCAGAGTGTCCCTGTTCATTGGTCAATACTGAGCCTCATATCCTGACTCCAGTCTGTGCTTTTGGTCTCTGGAGAACTCCCTTGCTGTTTGTTACAGGTACAACATTCAAAAAGAAAATATTTTTGTATATTATTTATTTAATTATTTATTTTCTCTCTCCGGGTTTTTTAAAAGAAGAAAAAAACAAAAAAAGAAATGATTTTTCTTAATATCTAAAACCCTCTCCCTGTCACTATTTTCCCTTTTCAGCTATGCTCATTTCAGCTGGCCATCCTATTCTTCCTCAAACCATGAGTCAGTCACAGCTTATACAAGACCAGGGTTGGACTCACCATTTGGAAACTCAGGCACTGCCCGAGGGCCCGGGGTCAGTGGGGGGCCCCATGAGATGCCCCTGATACCTTTTTCATAGGCTTTTTTGAGTTTGGGCAAGGACACAGGAGCCCCATGATCCCCTATTGCGGGGGGGGCCCCATGAGTTGTCAGTCCACCCCTGTACAAGACAATCATATTCTAAGGTAGGAGACCACAACATCAGGAACTTTGACCTACTGCGCCTCCACTGACAGCCGTTCTGGACTTCCTTCAGGCAGCTCTGGACATGGGCCTTAGCCTAAACTCATTGAAGGTCAATGTGTCGGCTATTTCAGCAGTAACAAAAATTTCTGAAAGCGGTCGTGAAAATTCAACCCCCCTGAAGGAGATTTTTTCCCCAATGGGTTCTATCAGTCTTATTGGATTTCCTGTCAGCTCATCCATTTGCTCCAACAGAGCACTGTTTGGACTGGAACATTACATACAAGGCAAGGTTTCTGGTTGCAATGACCTCAGAGCATGTCTGGGCTGCAGGCCCTCAGACCTTCAGAGAGACATATTGTTTTCTTTCCAGAGTAGAGTTGTGACCTGTAGATAATTTTGTACCAAAGGTAGCAATATCCTAACAGACATCTGGGCTTTGCCTAACTTTCCAGAGGGATGCTCTGGGATAGCGAGTCAGCAAGGCCAGATCATGATCTACCAGTCACCTGGCCACGAACAACTGGTAAATCATGATCCACTGGTTGCTGACTGCTAGGGTTAACTAGGAGCGCTTGTGCTAGAATTGTTCTCACTCTGACATTCACAGGGATATGTCAGACATGTGGTGCAACCATGGTTGATGCGTGCACACCCTGGGCTTGCATTTGTGTCTGGGCAGATGTGAGGGGCAATGGGGGTTACGTTTTTATGTTTTTTTTCTTTCATTTTTTATTTATTTTTACTTGATTGCTATGACAAGGGTTTAAAAAACATAAGCATTGGGCAGGTGACCGGTACTTTTATGGAGACGTAAGGGGTCTAATAGACCCCAATGTTTCCCCTGCCCTTCACACCATCTAGCCAAGCACAGATTGGCTTGGTTAAATGTATCCCTTAGCTGTACTTGCCAGGAAATGGTGCATCTGAAACCAGAAGCGGCATCACTTTTCTGTCTCATTGTTTGCATGTGAGTTCACGGCATGGATTTGCCTCAGTTTCACAGCACTCTCCCTCTCCTAGCTGGTGGTCGAGTTCCCTGCTACTGCTGCCATCAGCTTGTGATTAAAGGTTCACTATTTGGATGTACATAGTACGTCCAAAGAGCTGAACTGGTTAAAGAAACCCCCACTGACTTCTGTAGCTGTAGGCATTGTGGTGAAGTTCACAACAGAAAGACTAAAGAACCATCTCATCCCCTTTAATTTTTTTTTTTTATCAGAATAAATTTGGCAGCCTGCCAGCCTTCTAATTTAAGTGATTGCAGACTTTGGGGGTGACATACACTTGCCAAAAAAACATCATCATTGTACACAGAACATGTGTTGCACATGAAGACTCTCTGCCATGCTCCTAGGAACCCCCCAATATACTATAACTGTTGGCTGTGATTAATCACAGCTGGCATTACAGTATTCAAAGAAGAAGTTGGCAGCTCTAGCTGTCATAAAAGCAGTCTGATAGTGTTTATAAACAACACTGCTCCAGACAGATACATATTGTTACATTTGTATCATCCATTCATTCATTTGCAGATCAAAGGGATGAACTTAGATCAGCAGATGATGTCATTTAAAGCAACCTGACAAGTAAAAAACATATTTTTTTAAATATTCCCCTATTTAACCCTTTGTTAACCCTTAGTTTACTCTAATCAGCCCTAATTAACTCTTTAATCTCTTTCTCACTTTAAATATTTTTTTTTGCTGCTGATTTTTTGTTTGTTTCTATTTCATTAACTATTAATAGTAAACTTTTTGTGTTTTTATTTTGTTTGTTAATATTTTTACACATTTAACATACATTTACACATTTCCCATGAAAAAAAACCCAAAATTGAAAAAAAAACAAAAACCCACTTTATTTCATTTGTAAATTATTTTGCAATGCTTTGTATCAGAAAGATAATTTTATTGTCATAAAAAGGGCAAATTGCACAATAAAATGTGCACAAGTTATGTGCAGTAACACTAACTATAAACTAAAATTGCACAGAAAAAGAGAGCATTTTGTTTAGATTTGTTACGTTTTATTGTTTAAGGATTGCAACAACAGAAAAAAATCATTGTTGCAAGACAATATCAAGATATAAAAATTGTGCTGGTCCATAGGGGGGAAGTGGTTAAACACATGGCAGGTGCTGTAAACTGTTATGGTCCTTTCATATGAACAGTCTGATCAGATCCGCCTGTCAGTTTTTCAGTGTTATTCTATGAGCAGACTGATGCAAGCAGAAGCTGAAAGTAAAAAGTGAACTGAAAAGGGACAGCTGTTCTATTTGGCCCAATTCAGCAGGGGATCTGTTTATGGATCCCTTGCTGTTTAAAGCATAGGACCACCATCTGAAAGAACACTTAGAAACTATTCCCAACTTAAGAATCTCTGTTATGATCTTTGAAAATTAATTACTTTAGAGTAGTGTTTCTTCACAATCTTCTGGCACCCTTTAAAATTCTACATACTCTCGAAGCACCCTTTACAATTCTGCACAATCTCAAGCAGGGGTGGACTGACAACTCATGGGGCCCCTGGGCAATAGGGGATCATGGGGCCCCTGTATCCTTGCCCAAACTCAAAAAAGCCTATGAAAAAGGTACCAGGGGAATCTCATGGGGCCCCCTACTGACCCCGAGTTTCCAAATGGTCAGTCTGCCCCTGATCTCAAGGCAACCTTTAAAATTCTGCACAATCTTGAGTCACCCTTTAAAATTCTGCATAATCTCAAGGCACCCTTTAAAATTCTGCACAATCTCAAGGCATACTTTAAAATTCTGCACAATCTTGAGCCACCCTTTAAAATTCTGCACAATCTTGAGGCACCCTTTAAAATTATGGACAATCTTAAGGCACCCTTTAAAATTCTACATAATCTTGAGGCACCCTTTAACATTTTGCACAATATTGAAGCACCCTTTAAAATTCTGCACAATCTTAAGGCACCCTCTAAAATTCTGCACAATCTCAAGGCACCCTGTAAAATTATGGACAATCGTCAGCCTTTAAAATTCTACACAATCTTGAGGCACCCTTTAAAATTCTGCACAAGGTATTGTTTCCACCATTCCATTTGTTGTACACTATTTTGATTTCTGACTTGAACTTGAATATGTCTAGTTATGGTTTATTTTCATTGCATGTTTTGTGTCGCACCATTATTGCCTAAGGACTTGTCTTGGACTTTAGCATGTACTCAAAGAAATGTTTGCTTTTATTCTTAATTGCTCTTGTCTGTTTCTTGACTTTTTTATTTTTCTGTTTGCATCATTCTTGCGTGAATGAAGTTATTGTTTGGCACTCTACAACCCACGATTGTGGGTTGCATTTTTTTGTAAGCTGTTTCTAAAAATTAATAAAAAACATTGAAATATAAAATTCTACACAATCTTGAGATACCCTTTAAAATTCTGCACAATCTTAAGGCACCCTCTAAAATTCTGCACAATCACAAGGCACCCTTTAAAATTCTGCACAATCTTAAGGCACCCTCTAAAATTCTGCACAATCACAAGGCACCCTTTAAAATTCTGCACAATCTTAAGGCACCCTCTAAAATTCTGCACAATCACAAGGCACCCTCTAAAATTCTGCACAATCTTAAGGCACCCTCTAAAATTCTGCACAATCACAAGGCACCCTTTAAAATTCTGCACAATCACAAGGCACCCATTACATAATGTAAAAAAACTAAACTAATATTTTTTTCAGAACGCTGCAACATCTGCACATGTAGGACACCCAACATTAGAGATGATTTATACTTCCAAAGAAAATACACCTTTGCACACTGGTATGACTACTATTTCAATGTTTCTCTTCTCCCTCACTCAGCTAATGTGACCCCAGTGCTGACGGAGAGGAGCAGGGAAGGGGCAAGCAAGGATGCTGTTCAGGGGCCCAATGTCCTTTTTATCAACTGATTACATCATTGGTTGTTATGTCCCTGGAGACAATTGTAATGGCGCACAATGAAAACCTGTGGCTTTATGTAATTAAAAGGGAGGCTTGATCCACCTGCTGGCTTGTATACAATTTTTGGCCAATTTTTAGGTATTTTGCAAAGGCAACCCTGAAGAAACCTGAAGACACCCCAGGTTGCCTGGGTACCCTGGTTGAAAAAGGCTGCTTTAGAGTTCATACAACTAGAGAGGTCAGAAATTACCTGTTTTAAAGCTCTTTAACAGCTTGCTAAAAATATGTAAATACTTTATTTCTATACCCTGGTCACAGGTGCACTTTAACTAACCAAACATTTAATTTTTTTCCCATTTTTTCAACCTATTGTTTAATAAAAATACCAATCAAAATTCTTATGTGTTCCTAAAAATCATTTAGGTAGACACATTATTGAAGGAAATGTTATCAAGTTAACTAGTGCATACTGAAGATTTGGTTGGGCATCAAGGCTTAAATGACCTCTGGCCATGAATACCCACACAGGCCTGGAAAGTGCCTTTGAGTGGGCACGGCAGCCCATGTATTTGAATTGGCTGCTGGGCCTGCGTTTCATGCAGGGAAATGATTCCTTCTCCTTTTTCTAAAGATGCAGCCACAGGGAAATCTCATGATGCTTTTGCACCATGTAATTTCCTGAAACCAAAAATGTGCTGCGTTTTCAGGTGCATGGGGGTGCCATTAAGAATAAATGGCAGCCCCGTGCGCCTGCAAAAGAGTAGCACAGTTTGATTGTGAGCATTTGTTGGTGTGGGTTCAGGAACAGGTATGATTTTACACACTGTCCCACATCCACAACCACCAGCACAAGTGTGAACCTATCCTTATGCAGCATATAGCAGTCAAACTGCAGGGTCAGTTACTTGTAGTTTTTGAATATTTCTAGATTCTGTAAGGTTCAAAGCACTTGTCTCTTGTGTAAGTGATCAGTAGCAAAAAGTTTTCTGATACCTTCTAAAACCCCATTTCCTGTTGTTTGCTAGGCTGGTCTTGATCAATTACAATTATCAGCACTCACATTTTTGATCCAGCCCTGTCAGAAAGCTTTCTGTCTAACATAACAAATCAAATAATAATTACATTATATGGCTTTTCATTTAAAGTCTAATAATCTTATGAATTGGATTTGGTAGCTAAATAGATAATTCATTAAGCTTGAAAGAAGGAAACAGGAAAAAGGTTACAGTTTTTAAAGCTATTTCATTTATTTTCATTTATGTCTACATCATTTATAAGTTAAAGTTCAGCTCCAGACAAATAACTAAATACAAAGTAGAAATAAATATATGTGTATGATTATAATAAATCTTATTTGTAATATAGACAACCCTGTCAAGCATCACAGCCAGGTCACTGACCTAATTTTTCTACATTGCTTTTAACAACACAGCTTGGTCAAGGACCCACCCTCTGCCTACTGATTGGACAATTATGGATCATATTCACAATTATGTGGTTTCCATGCCTTTTCTGTCTGTGAGCATGATCACAATGTTAGACTGACAGAACTGTGCAAAGCCATAGAACCCTTCTCTGTTCAGATTTCTGACAATCTCTCTCCCAGGCTATGTAGGACATTACAGCAAGCTAACAAAAAAGACTAGTAAACTAGTTGTATTTCAGAATACACGTAATGATTTTAATGAATGCATAATTAGACAAACTGTTTTTCCTAATGTAATGGAGAGTCTACAATCATGCTGTAATTTATGTGGTCACATTTAGGCTATTAGGAGAAATATAGAAAATAGAAGAGCATACAATCTCTGTAACATGTTACGATCAGACCGGCCCCTGCTCTGACAGCTAGCAGGGGATCTTTTCTCCCGCCCCCCCCACTAGCTGTCAAATCTTAAAAATGCTGCCGTGCGGGGCTCCGGCCATGTCACACATTCACAGTTCTTTGTGAATGAGAGACTATAAGTCCTTACAGCCTTAGTGGCTGTCGGCTTGCAGTCCTCAGTGAACTACCATGGCTCTGTGGTAGTTCATTCATTCTTCCTGTCAGTATACCTTCTTGCTCGTACATGCCGTATGGGCAAACAAATCTACTGACAGATTTGCAGGAGACCTGCATGGCACCAGATCTGCTGATCAATGCTTTACAGACGCCTGCAGAAAAAAAATAATAAATACACATTTTGTTACCTGCAAAAAAATGTTCAATTATTATTTCTTACTAAATGGTGAACTTGTCCTTTAAAGTACCTGCAATCACTATCAGTCAAAACACAAATGAATCACAAGAACTTGCCAACAACATTTCACAACATTGATAGAAACTGATATTAGTTTGCATCCTTCAAGTTGGTTGTGTTTGCAGCCAAAAGGTAATGAAAGTGATTGCCATGGCTTAAAACAATTGTTGTGTGTGGCCAGCATAGGAGATTGCAATACACTGAAAAACTTCCCCTCCTTCTATATCATTCCTATATAGCCTAAAGCTGGCCATAGATAGATAGAATTTCATACAAACATTTTTAGGAAAAGTCTTGGGAAAAAATGGGTTTGAAAGTTTTCATAACATTCGAATGTCATTCAAAAGACTTTGTTTGCTTTTAACATTTGATTTTGGAATAAATGGACTTTCCAAGTTGTAAATCCATGCATTAGAGCCCACTTATCCATCCATGTATTAGAACCTGAATTAGTGGTCACATACTGAAGTGAATGTTGCTGTCAGAGAGGATCAGCATGACAACCAGGTGGTTGTGGGGCAAACAAAATAATTTCTTTGATAACTTTCACCACTAGGCATCTTTAGCCAAATGAGCTGTGCAAGACTGAAAATTTGGAAAAAAAAAAAAACCCAATATCTTCTACCTTCTGTTATAAAGACATATCCAATAAAAAAGTAAATATCTTCATTAATTTAAGCCAAAATGTATTCTGCTATATGTCTTAGGTAAAACAAAATCCCAATAAGTGTGTATTAATTGGTTTGTGTGACAGTTCACAAAATATGGTATACTGTATATACGGGGGTTGGACAAAAATATGGAAACACTACAAGATTTGCAGGTGTGTCATCCATTCACAGTGTTCTGTGAATTGGAAAACATCCTGACAGCCTTTGTGACTGTCGGCTTGTAGACTTTGCTGCAGTAAATATTTAAATGCCCCTTCTATGCAGCTGAGCTGCAATATGTAGGTAGGGTGTTGTGTGGGTATGGCTTGAGTGTAGATGGGAACAGGGGGTCCCATTATCTCTTACTGCCCGGGGGCCCCATGAATTGTCAGTCCACCCCTGGGTCCAACACTATATTAGGCAACAATTTTGTTCTTTTTACACGGTGTAAACTTGATCAATCCTGATATACTGATGGCCTGTCTCATTTCTTGAGGCCCTAAAATGCCAGGAAAGAACAATTACCACCCAAATGACCCCTTTTTGGAAAATAGACAGCCTGAAGTATTTAGTAAGAGGAATTGTGAGTTTCCTGAAACTGTAATTTTTTTGTCACTTTTTTTGGAAGATGAAGAAGTTTAATAAAATGTAATTTTTTTTTATATATATACTGTCACTAGTGCAGTACAACTTCATCATATGACTGGTGTGGCAGAGATCATGTATACTGACTGATGCCAGTATGTAAAGAAAATACATAGCTTTTATTACATTTTTAAAAATATTTTTTAGATATTTTTAACAGTTTTATTTTTGTAACTGTTTTTTACTATTTTTTTCATCCTGTCATCAGATTATCTCATTGCCACCATAGTGACACTGTACTACTCTAGAGGGTGGGGGGAAGAGCACTGTATAAGCATTAGCTTTCGCTGTCATAAATGGGTTTCCCATTCAAGAACATCTTGATTTTGATTGTGATCTGTGATTGGCTAAGCTAATCACATGGTACAGGTAGCCAGGTACCACGTGTTTGCTGTGGGTCAGTCACAGATCACAGCAGTAAGCAAGTTGTTCATGAATGGGAAATTATTGTTATCATGTAATTGACCAGTCAGAGCGATCATATGTACGTGGTTACCGGTGACAGA